CTTTCCATAAAAAGTAACTAAGTAACAAAATTAGTTACTTTTTTATGCATAGCACAACATTGTAATGCATTACTTTTAAAAGTAGGTTTCCATATTTATAGAATAACATTTTCATAATAAGTACATTTTGACCAAAGGTTCTCATTGCCATAATGCCTCTATAGATGTTTTATCTTTTTTTATTCTATTACTTTCAGTTGTTGTTCTCATTAGATTCTAATTAATGCAAATTGTGCAACATTATTAGAAAAATATTGCAATTCCAAAATGTTTTTAATCAGCATAAAGAAAAATATTATTTAATACAATTCTTTAAAAATTTGAATATATATATATATATATATTTTTGCATTTAGTCTTGAAAATTGTTTGAGAAAGGTTCTTAATTGTAATGAGATGTCCTTGTATAAATACATTTTTATGTATAACATTATTTATATAATATTTTTTCATTTGATTTCAGAGAGTACTGTAATATGACCTGAATATGTTGCATATCGAAGCCTTTACCTACACACGGGTGAGTCTATGTACTTTATTCCCATTAATAAGTGATACAGGTCTCTGCATGTCCGTGCTACATACACTCTGACTGAGCTGAGCTCAACTACATCCTTTCGCCCCTTTTCCTGTTTTCCTCTTCTGTCAGTAAGTTTCCATTAAATAGAGATGTTATATAACAAAACCCGGGACAGTAGATACCATGGCAACTTAGAAAAACTAAATAAAACTACGTGACTGATGCATGTTAGTTGTTCAAACTAAGAGTGGACCTCTTTAAAGACCTGAGATGTCAGCCAATCTAAGTTTATCTTGGATATTTTTTGTTATCTATTTAACGTGCTTTAATGCCATATAGTGGCAGATTTGTTCACACCAGCCATGAAAGCACGGATCAGCACTCAACAACTCTCATAAATCTCCATCCATCATTCCCTGTTTTCCTCTTGCCTTCCCCATCCGGCCTCAATAATGGCTGTTCGGTGCTTTGTAAACACTCCCATCTAATTCGTTACGGTCCTTATCTGCGACTGGCCATCTCTGACCCCTCGACTGGCCCACGCCCCTTTCTCTTCTTTACGACAGACAGGTGGGGGGCCACCCAAAAACAAGCACCTAAATGTCACCAGAGTCTCGACTTTAATATATGAGGTCAATGTGCTATTTTACAGCCCTGTGAGAGGCCCATCTTATCTCAAAGATACTGTTGACATAGCACGTTTTAATAGACTGTGTGAGCAACGATAGTGGTCAGTTTAAGATGAGACACAGGTGAAGCATCTGGCTGAAAGAATTCAGTCTTATATACATAGATTTTAAGGCTAAGAGCTCATAGCACACTTAGCGCGTATACGAAGTTGCCCAATCATTATGAAGACACAGCCAAGTTATTTCAGGGCATTGGGGGCACATTAACAATTTGAAACGCTTACATGAATGTGCACAACTTAACAGAGAGTTAAAAAAAATAACATTAGATATAGAATGGTCACAATTCAAAATAATAAAGCCAAGTGAAAACCTAGACTTAAAACCTTATTATGAGAAGTTTCCAGAGGGGTGTTATTCAGTCCGTCTGAAACAGCTGGTTTGACAACAATAGGTTAGAAGTGTGTGGAGAGGACATTTATAGCATTTTAGCATAAGACAGTGTGCTGACTCAGATGTCTGTGTGATTCAACAACTGTCAATTTCAAAACTAATCAAAGTGGGATGATCCATCACACAGGAAGTCAACATGCGTGCACACGATTATACTGACACTCTCAGGCGACGGAATGAGGCTGCAGATAATTTGTACCACCAAAAGTGTGGGGGTCAATATTTTTTTAATTAATGCTTTTATTAAGCAAGGATGCATTAATTTGATCAAAAGTGAACACATTCATTGACTGTAAAGACATTATGTTATAATGTTACAAAATAACATTATACTATATACTGTTGACTATATTCAAAGAATCCTGAAAAAATATATACTTGTGTCATGGTTTCCACAAATAATAATAAGCCGCACAACTTTTTAACCAGTTTTTTCAACAATGACAATATTAAGAAATGTGGAGTTATGGCTGCTGAAAATTGAACTTTGATATCAGGAATAAATTACATTTGAAAATATATTCAAATAGAATTTTTTTAAATAATATTTCACAATATTACAGTTTTTACTGTACTGATCAAATAAACGCAGTGAATCTTACAGACCCCAAACTTTTAAAAAGTATATTTCAGAACATATTTCAGTTCAGTTCAATTTTATTTATATAGCACATTTAAAAACAACCATGGTTGACCAAAGTGCTTAACAATGTCCGGAAAAACGTACACACAAACAAGACAAATACAGTAAAAAAAAAAAAAACATCACAATGTCTCAGCTCAGCTCGAAATGAAAGACAAGGAATACAGGTGTGTCTTAAGTAATGACTTAAAAATTCCAGCAGTCTGAGCAGTTCTTATGTGCACAGGTAAACTATTCCACAAATTAGGTGCCACCACTGAAAAAGCTCGGTCACCTTTCTTTAAACAATGTCCGGAAAAACGTACACACAAACAAGACAAATACAGTAAAAAAAAAAAAAAACATCACAATGTCTCAGCTCAGCTCGAAATGAAAGACAAGGAATACAGGTGTGTCTTAAGTAATGACTTAAAAATTCCAGCAGTCTGAGCAGTTCTTATGTGCACAGGTAAACTATTCCACAAATTAGGTGCCACCACTGAAAAAGCTCGGTCACCTTTATTTTTTAACCTGGCTCTCGGAACATCGAGGAGCACCTGATTGGACGACCTCAGCGCTTTAACAGGAGTGTGGACATGTAAAAGCTCTGATAAATAAGCAGGCACCAACCCATTTAAAATCTTAAAAACAAACAATAAAATCTTGAAATCAATCCTGAAGCAGACAGGAAGCCAGTGTAGTGAAGCTAAGTGTCATGAATCCGGTCCATGAATTTCCGTCTGCTTACCATCAGAGGTCACCCTTTCCATTACATTGACTCTCGCACTACACAAACTGTTGCATATCATCCCGGACTACATATTCCATCATTCATTGCACTGATTGCACACAGCACTGATTGACCACAGCTGTTTCATATTACTCACTCACTATTTAACACTCACTCAAACAACCATTCTCGGCCGAGTATTGTATGCGCTTATCGCAAGCAGTGATAGCTACTTTACAGAGCCCTCGTTAGTTTCCCAGCCCAGCCTAGTCTTGCCTTGTCTGTTTTCCCGGTTTCTGATCTTTGCCTGTTTTCCTGGATTTATCCCCTCTAGTCTCGCCCTTTTGATTCTGTTCACCGATCGTTGACCTACGCTAGCCCTAGGATTATTCTTGTGTCTTGCCCGCCGTATACCTGTTGGCCATTGTTCGAACCTACCTGTGTTTCTGACCTCTTCTGCTTTAATAAAAGCTTGCACGTGGATCCTCACGTCTTGTCAGCCCCGTTACACTAAGACACGGGTAATGTGCTCATACTTTTTAGTCCCAGTTAGAAGCCGAGCTGCTGCATTTTCGACTAACTGTAAACGTTGAAGAGATGACTGATCCAAACCAACATATAAAGAGTTACAGTAGTCTAGTCTAGATGTTATAAAAGCATGAATTACACTTTCAAACTCCTTACTTAGCAGGTAGGGCTTGACTTTAGCCAACAGTCTCAGTTGAAAGAAACTGGCTTTTACAACAAAATTAATCTGTTTTACAAATTTAAAAGCACTGTCAAAAATCACACCGAGATTCTTGGTAAATTGACGAACATACAAACCTAAATTACCAAGTGCATCTACACAAGCACTTAAATCCCCAGGACGACCAAACACAACAATCTGTCTTATTTTCATTAAGACAAAAAAAGTTCTGATCCAGCCATATTTTTAAATCTCTCAGGCAATTTAGTAATGACAGAAATTAAGTTTTGTCATTTGTTTTGACAGGCAAATAAATTTGTACATCATCCGCATAACAGTGGAAGGAGAAATATATATTGTGCTTTCTAGAAATATACCCCAAGGGCAGCATATACAAAGAAAACAACGTAGGGCCCAATATTGACCCTTGGGGGACGCCACAAAAAAGAGGGGCAGCAAATGAAGAAAATTCACCAAGGTGAACAGAAAAATTTCTGTCTGTCAAATACGACTGAAACCATGTAAGGGCTATGCCCTTAATGCCGACACACTGTTCAAGTCTAGATAAAAGAATTGAGTGGTTGACCATATCAAAGGCAGCAGTCAAATCCAAAAGGCCTAGAAATATACCCCAAGGGCAGCATATACAAAGAAAACAACGTAGGGCCCAATATTGACCCTTGGGGGATGCCACAAAAAAGAGGGGCAGCAAATGAAGAAAATTCACCAAGGTGAACAGAAAAATTTCTGTCTGTCAAATACGACTGAAACCATGTAAGGGCTATGCCCTTAATGCCGACACACTGTTCAAGTCTAGATAAAAGAATTGAGTGGTTGACCATATCAAAGGCAGCAGTCAAATCCAAAAGGCCTAAAACAGCAGAGTTACCAGAGTAACTTGGTTTCACACCAACATCAAGAGATAGATGTTAGAAATTGTTTGGCTATTTTAGGACCATTAAGACTTTTTGAACTATGACATTACCTTTGCAACTTTCACATTATTTGATGGTTATTTGATGAGCCTCTCATCCTCTGGTGATCAGCCTTTCATCCTCTGGTCCTTAAACTATGATATACTAATAATACTGCCAATACAAAAAATAATTACCTATTTAATAATTACCTACCTAACTGTTATTAATCAATGAACCTAGTTGGTATCTATAGCACTTAAACTTAAAAAGAGTTGCATGCCTCACAAGTTCTCTGGCAGCTTTTCTAATCTGATAACTCCTCAGGCCTTATGGGAAAGTGCTGACTGGCTGCACAAATCAGAATGTCTGTGTTTTGACCTGATTATTATGTTATTGAATTGTTTCATTATGAGATTCACCCACAAAAGAACAATGACTCACCCGTCTGGATCCTGATAGTTGATGTTCAGCCTCTTGGTGGAGCCCAGTAACTCTACAACACGAGAAAGAACACAGAACACAAATGTCAGCTTCACATGAAGACAATCAAGAGACTATGGCTAATATATATATATAAAATCTCTCTGTTTTTCTCTTTTACTGAAAGCATTTGGCTGATGTGTCACATGAAGCAAATGAGAGGGCTGTTTGTTCATTCACTGGACAGTGTGGAATGTGTCTGTATAACCATGTGAGGTTACAGTGCTCTCGAATAAACTCTCATCAACCTGTATGAACCACCAGGTCCCACGTACAGAAACACTTGCATACTAGCTTGAATTGCACAACAACTTGTAACTAAAGAACTGGACAGTTTGAAGAGAGGCGTCTGAAGTGTATGTAGTCCTTGCTAGGTAGTTGCTAATGTGTTGGGTGGTTGCTATTGAAAATGCCACCAGCAGTGCAGAAATGACGAACTGCACACTTAAACTTTTAGGTTAGGAGTCGCTAGGCAGTTTACATTGGTCTTTCCCATGAGAGCCCCAGAGGGAGTCTGGGATCCAGACTGATGAGAAGGTCTGAGGACTTCTGGAGATTCCTGTTAGCTTACTAGGACATACAGGACTAAGTAACGCTGTCTCTTCCTGTGAACAAGAAAGGGCACTTCACTAACCTCTGACCTCTGCCTGACCTCACTAGCCAGCTCAGTGGATGTTAAACTGGCAGGAAGATGGAAAATAATAGACCACTCAATAGTGATCTTAGAGTCTTTGGTCAGTCATCAATTGTGGCTCTTAAGGGAGACAGCAACACATGGACAGTGCCTCAAGACCATTAGCCAATATTTCAATAGTCTGATACAAAGAACTGTTTGCTTCATCCCTCAAAATGAAGAAGTCTCAGTGTGGCATGTTTCTTATGCATGTAAATGCTTTCATAAAATTATGCAAGTCTGCAAATATTGATATTTTTTACTATTTATTCCCAAAAAATATCTGAAAACATCTTGGGAAAGTGACAAAGTGACTAAAAATTATAAAAAATATTTAATTTTGTTATTAAAAATTATAAATATGCACAATCAAGGATTTAATTAAACTGTAAAGCCGACTTTAGGTTTCTGCTTGTTTCTGTGGAATGAAGCTTGTAAACTTGAAAGTCTTTAAAAAGAAAGAAAGAAAGAAAACACAAAATTTAGGCAACCACTGCTTATATCAAAAGTACACAATTATATGTTCAACTACAAAAGAGCAGCCAACGCCTTTCCCTACTATAACTGACAATGCATTGGAGCCAAGCTGTAAACATACACACCCAAAGCAAAAGCAAGGCTCATGATTTTACTCTGGCTCTGGTGGTGGAGTCACACAGATAGATTGTGCTCCATCTGAAACGAGCCATGAGCACTGCCATTATAAAATATGACATTTAAAAAAATCTACCTTATCTGCACATATAGGGCACTTAAGTTCTAGACTGAGCTTTGCTGTACACAGTAAGAAACTTACAGACAGGATTATAAATGAGAACCTTGTGACTGATGAATTGCGCTAATACATTAGTGGTTTAAGTTGGTAACCCACAGGTCTGTTTGAGAACAGAACATGTGTAAATTTGGTTCAATTAGTTAGTTTGAGTCCACTTTAAAAAGTGGTCTTGGTTTGGCTACGTGTGTTCTCTTATTGGAATTCACTGAAATAAACCATTATTGATGATAAAATTGGCATCTATGCATGGCGGTATTGCTGCAAACTGAGGTATAACTTGCTAGTTTTGCACACCCTACAAAACATAACAATCACTTTTTTGTCAAAGTTGTGCAACATGAAACAAACTTGTAGTTGTTTTTTTATGAACTGTAAAGCCGACTTTAGGTTTCTGCTTGTTTCTGTGGAATGAAGCTTGTAAACTTGAAAGTCTTTAAAAAGAAAGAAAGAAAGAAAACACTAAATTTAGGCAACCACTGCTTATATCAAAAGTACACAATTATATGTTCAACTACAAAAGAGCAGCCAACGCCTTTCCCTACTATAACTGACAATGCATTGGAGCCAAGCTGTAAACATACACACCCAAAGCAAAAGCAAGGCTCATGATTTTACTCTGGCTCTGGTGGTGGAGTCACACAGATAGATTGTGCTCCATCTGAAACGAGCCATGAGCACTGCCATTATAAAATATGACATTTTAAAAAATCTACCTTATCTGCACATATAGGGCACTTAAGTTCTAGACTGAGCTTTGCTGTACACAATAAGAAACTTAAAGACAGGATTATAAATGAGAACCTTGTGACTGATGAGTTGCGCTAATACATTAGTGGTTTAAGTTGGTAACCCACAGGTCTGTTTGAGAACAGAACATGTGTAAATTTGGTTCAATTAGTTAGTTTGAGTCCACTTTAAAAAGTGGTCTTGGTGTGGCTACGTGTGTTCACTTATTGGAATTCACTGAAATAAACCATTATTGATGATAAAATTGGCATTTATGCATGGCGGTATTGCTGCAAACTGAGGTATAACTTGCTAGTTTTGCACACCCTACAAAACATAACAATCACTTTTTTGTCAAAGTTGTGCAACATGAAACAAACTTGTAGTTGTTTTTTTATTATTATTATTATTTATTTTTGGCATTTTTTGCTCAGGATTCGAACTCGGGACACACGTAGCACAATGGCACTATATGTCGATGCACTGCCCACAAGGCTATTGGTGCCGACAGCTTTTTGTAATTTAAGGTCTGGCCGAAATCTCAACAAAACATTATGGCACCTGTAGGAAAGGCCATCCCTCCTTTCAAGAGCCAATCTCAGAGGTGCCCAATCCTGCTCTTGGAGGGCCACTCTATCCCCAGTTAGACACACCTGAAGCACTAGGACCTTTGAGGCAGGAGTGTTTGGAAATGTTGGAAATTAACTCTGCAGAACGTTGGCCCTTCAGGAGCAGGACTGGAACCCCCTGTACTATTTGGTAATTTGGTAATGGTCCTGTTTTGGAGAATCCTATATTTCCATATTCAAGAAGCTGTGCTTGCATTCACAGCAACTGTATCCTACAAACTGGCAACTAGTGCGGCTTTGATCCTTGAGCTGAATGTTTGATGTTTGATTTCTATACATCGGCTCCTTCCTGCACACCAAACTGCTAAAAAATCTACCTTATCTGCACATATAGGGCACTTAAGTTCTAGACTGAGCTTTGCTGTACACAATAAGAAACTTAAAGACAGGATTATAAATGAGAACCTTGTGACTGATGAGTTGCGCTAATACATTAGTGGTTTAAGTTGGTAACCCACAGGTCTGTTTGAGAACAGAACATGTGTAAATTTGGTTCAATTAGTTAGTTTGAGTCCACTTTAAAAAGTGGTCTTGGTGTGGCTACGTGTGTTCACTTATTGGAATTCACTGAAATAAACCATTATTGATGATAAAATTGGCATTTATGCATGGCGGTATTGCTGCAAACTGAGGTATAACTTGCTAGTTTTGCACACCCTACAAAACATAACAATCACTTTTTTGTCAAAGTTGTGCAACATGAAACAAACTTGTAGTTGTTTTTTTATTATTATTATTATTTATTTTTGGCATTTTTTGCTCAGGATTCGAACTCGGGACACACGTAGCACAATGGCACTATATGTCGATGCACTGCCCACAAGGCTATTGGTGCCGACAGCTTTTTGTAATTTAAGGTATGGCCGAAATCTCAACAAAACATTATGGCAGCTGTAGGAAAGGCCATCCCTCCTTTCAAGAGCCAATCTCAGAGGTGCCCAATCCTGCTCTTGGAGGGCCACTCTATCCCCAGTTAGACACACCTGAAGCACTAGGAGCTTTGAGGCAGGCGTGTTTGGAAATGTTGGAAATTAACTCTGCAGAACGTTGGCCCTTCAGGAGCAGGACTGGAACCCCCTGTACTATTTGGTAATTTGGTAATGGTCCTGTTTTGGAGAATCCTATATTTCCCTATTCAAGAAGCTGTGCTTGCATTCACAGCAACTGTATCCTACAAACTGGCAACTAGTGCGGCTTTGATCCTTGAGCTGAATGTTTGATGTTTGATTTCTATACATCGGCTCCTTCCTGCACACCAAACTGCCCTGAGCAGTCATGACCACTAAAACAATGGCTCAATGACTGACGACCTTCCTCTTCGGTAATGACTACTCAAGAAACTTTTTGATTAAACAGAAGGAAAGCAGGGGTGGACTGCTTAGCATCTATGGCCGTCTCAAATGTTTGAGGCCTGAAGAATTTCAGCAGAAAGTCAGAGGTGGCAGATTCCAGGAAGTTCACAGCTCCATTCCAGTCCTCTTGACCCGACAATGGAACACCTGCAGTGCAGGGAGATTACGTGTTTGGAGAAGGAGAAACACACTTCCCCTGGTCCTCTTATCGGCTGTGTAAATGAAGCTGGCGACAGCTACCACTCTGGATTTTTGTACCATATCAGAGCTGAGAAACTGACAGTCTCGCTCACAAAACTAGGCTGTTTAAGAGCCCTGCTATGCTAATACAATTGTGCGAGGAGATATGCCAGACCAAGAAAACTAAATCGCAAAAAAACAAGTGAAAAAAATACTTGGGCAAAAGTATGTTGACTGTGCCATTGTAGCTACAGTAGGCAAATTCTTGCAGCCATGTTCCAACATATATTAAATTAAATGCTCAACAAGAACATAAACGTGGTGTTTGGGTGCACATCTGTACACATTTTTGCTGTTTCCTCAGCACTTGCTGGATTATGTCATAGGAAGCATAAGATCATAGGAAGCAGGCTTTCTCTAAAGAGTCCTAGACTGTGCTTTAGGTAACATCCATATCCTGTCATCAAGACTTCCTCCGGCACTTAATTGAACATCTGGGCTCTTTTCCACATCTACAGACCGGAATCTTAGACTCCGATCAGGGCAAACGCACCATCCCTTTCAAACTCTTTCTCTTAACCAGTCTCAAGTTACATAATGACACCAAATTCCAACCCATCTTCATCGTTTTGCTCATCTCTCTGGCTCTTCACATGAATTTGTAATACGCACATAGTG